TAACATTGATGGCGTGTTATAGTTATAGACACAAGCTAACATTGATGGTGTGTTATAGACACCAGCTAACATTGATGGCGTGTTATAGTTATAGACACAAGCTAACATTGATGGCGTGTTATAGACACCAGCTATCATTGATGGCGTGTTATAGTTATAGACACCAGCTAACATTGATGGCGTGTTATAGACACCAGCTAACATTGATGACGTGTTATAGACACCAGCTAACATTGATGGCGTGTTATAGACACCAGCTTACATTGATGGCGTGTTATAGACAACAGCTTACATTGATGGCGTGTTATAGACACCAGCTAACATTGATGGCGTGTTATAGACACCAGCTAACATTGATGGCGTGTTATAGACGCCAGCTAACATTGATGGCGTGTTATAGACGCCAACTAACATTGATGGCGTGTTATAGACGCCAGCTAACATTGATGGCGTGTTATAGACGACAGGTGGTAGGATCCAATATGAACACCAGACGGCACACTACAAGGTCATCCGTTACAAGAAACGAGAGTAGAAACTGAGTTCACGTGTGACTGGTGTGTTGATGAGTTAAAAGAAACGTGTTGGCTTCAGATGTTTTTATTTGGCTGTTGTGTTGATGAGGGCTGAGTTCAAACGTGTTGGCTTCAGATGTTTTTATTTGTAGGCGAGTAAAAGGATTTCTCCCTCGTATGAATGTATTGTACGATTGAATAAAAACAGAAGCATTTATAATTATATGTGGGACAGAAACAGTGTTTTTTCCAGACTATTTTCTCGGGGGGGGGGGGGGGGCACTTGAAATGTTCGGGGGGGGCGGACTAAGATTTCCGAGGGGGGGGGGACGGATGGTCAATGTTAAAAGTATATATTTTCTATATAAATTCCATTTCGTTCGAGGGGGGGGGGGGGGGTCGGTAGACTTCCTTGTGGGGGGGGGGGGGGGGCGAAGAGATGCCTGAAAGTAACTTTGGACAGAAACTTGATTTTACTTAGACGATAATAAATAAAAACTAACAAAGTTCATTTAATTAAAAAATTTAAAAAAAAAACTTTTACCTTAGCACAAAGTAAACTACACATAGTGTCGTCACTAGGCAGGACATTATTAAATATTTTCTTAAACACACATTCCTGGTCAGCATGAATAGTCTACCGAAACATTTCACACTTTGTAACTTTGAGCAAAAGATTATCGTCATTTTTATGGCTTCTATTCCGAAAAACTAAAAAAATATTATCTTTTTTTTTAAGAGGTCTGTCGTGGATCAGAAATAAACAGTTAGTGACAAAGATTAATCCCCGTTTGGCGACATTTCTGATAGCGAGCTAGAGATAGAGAGCGAGCGAGTGAGAGAGAGAGGGGGGGGGATCATCTAGTTCTGCCTAACGCAGACGGCAAGTACAGGTAGGCTAAGTTAGACCGCGAAAGATACAGGATCAACCATAACCGTCGCCCGCCTGTTTTAGCCTATTGAAAACGTTTGCGAATTTCTCCACCATAATTTGAATTAATTTCATATCGTAACAGGTCATCACGATAAGCCAAATTCAACCCACCCCCACTCCCCACCCCCTCCAAAATTACGTCATAATTTTTCAACCATCCCTAAAATATTGTAAATGTAAATAATTTTTCAATTTCCTCCGAAAAAAAAATAGTTACGGGTTAGCTGCACTGGGTCTGGGCAGAGGAGTAGCGAGGGGGGGGGGGGGCGGAGGTGCGGACCGCACCGGGTGACACCATTTAGGGGGGGGGTGACACCAAGGCAAAAAATAGCAAAACGTATAGAAAAAACTTGAGGGGGGTGCGAATCGAAAACTTGAGGGGTGGAGGGTGCAAATCGGAAGGGTCGCTACGGCTCTGGGGGGTGACACCATTAAGTACCGCACCGGGTGACACCCGACCTCGCTACGCCACTGGGTCTGGGTATAACCTGTAACTAACTTGTAACACGCACTCATTCAAGAGATCGGTCAGGTTCAGTCGATATACTTGTCTATATATGAATAATACATAATTGTTAACAGCAGTCTTTACAAATAAATCGATTTGCCAATGGGAAAGCGGTGGTGGGGTATAATTATAATTTGGCACTCAGAACATAAAACATTTATCTAAATATTGATTGTGTTATAAATGCTTTTTTTTAAAATTGGGCTTCAAATCAGCCGTAAAAAAAAGTAATTTTAAGCCTCAAAATGATTCAGAAATTTTTAAAAAAAATTAGAATCGATGTTATAGAAGTTGAAAATCTAGAGAATTTGAAAATAAAAGTTTTGAGTTTAGGCTGCATTTTTATTTATTTTCATCAAGTCTAAGTTATAAACTGATTATCGAAGTTTCACTTTCGTAAGACAAACTTTGATTGGCTGTAAGGAACTCCGTGAACGATATTCTGAAAATCCCACTTAATTAAAAAAAATGTTTAGTAATTTGTACTCAAAACTTTGTCGATACATTTTTTAAACAAAACAAATTTCAAAATCACCAGACTTATTTCAGTCATGATTGTTGTCATTTTGTGTGATAAAATATAAACGACCAACTTGATTTTTGCCTTGTTAAAAATTATGTTCACTCAACGAGAATACTAAAACATCAAATACATCCAATCTTAAGTAAACTTAAGTCGGTCAAACAGGTTTTTATAATTATATTTATTTTAAAATCGCACCAGATTTTTAAAATATTGTAAAACCATTTCGAGACTTCCACGGCCGTCTACCTTGTTGTATTTTCTACTTTGTATTACTTTGTGGTAACTCGTCATACGAATGTCCTGACATACGAGATGTTTGAGTTACGAACTGTCGAGCGAACTAAAATTTGCTTTGACATACGAGCAAAATTTGAGATACGAGTAACCTGATTTAAAAGTTCGTGGAAAAGAAATACCCCAATAGGATGCAACTGATAGTGCATCGGAGCTATTTTAATGACACTTACCTAAGTCATTGACGAAATATTCTGAAAGGGGGGGGGGACAAACCTCTTTGGACAGGTGTGTTTTAACGACAAGCGTGGAAAAGTGGGGAAAGTGCTGAAAGCGTAACGAGAAATGCAACGGCCAGCGAAGAGCAATGGTGAAAAATAAGCGAAACTAGCAGTTCAATTATATACGGTGAAGTATGCTTACGTTTAGGGATAAAGTTTAGCGTAAAGAGTGTAAATGGTAAAAGACCAAACGAGCTTTGTATTAACAGTGTAGAGAGTTAGGGACAATTTATTGACAGTATGCGTTAAATTCAGGTACAGGTTCCTGTTCAGGTTCAGTCTCAGGATGAGGATAAAGATGAGGATGAAGATTTGGATTAGGATCACAATAATGATTACAATTAAAATTAGGATTAGGGTTAAGATTAGGGCTAGGGGTAGTCTAAGAAAATAGTATTAATGATTCTAAGCAGAGAAAATATTAAGATTTTTCAATGATTAATGACATAGCCATCTTGTGTAGCATCTACACGTTATGTAGACATTTTCTTTACCTCAGACACTTTTTTTATGTTAGAGGTAAGAAAAAACGCGCTTATGTAATGTGCCTTTGAAAGCTTATTTCCATAAATACCCCCCCCCCCCCATCATCGCATACCTCTGCCAACTTTGTTTACAGCCAAAGCCTCCGCCAAGACAAAGTACAGCTTCTGTCTACTAAGACAGACGAAGACTGCTTTTGACTGCCTTTGACTTGATGCCATCAATATAATTCTCTTCACGGGGACCATGCGAGACACCACGTATACGCAAGCCGTTACTCCCCCGCTCTCCAGGCATATCGCTACCACCCCCACCATTCTGGTGAGCTAAGATTCATCTCGAATGTACATTTGTAGCGCCGGGTCGAATTAGTAACAACTATTAGAGGCAGATAATTTAGCTTTTAAACGATTTGAAACTAAGGAGATGTAACAAGATTTGCTTGATCTTTTCATTGTTGTCCGTAAACTGTCGTCACGGACAGCTGCTTTCACGGTGGCGGGGTGGGGGGGGGGGGGGGGGGGGGTAATTGAAGGCCTCACTATTTATGAAGTACTGAAAAGTAGAAAATAAAAGAACTAAATAGCGCCGCAAGTCAGCTCGTATTCTGTATAGCTCCAACGATACGATAGAAAAGCATGAGACAAAAAAAATTCGGTCATGTTGTAAACCATCCGCGCCTGTAGGTCATGTTGATTTGACGCTTGGAAATGGAGTTGAGTTCTGGATACAAATGACATCATAAATCTAAAACTTAAGGAAACAGAAATAATGCAGTTTAAATATCACAAGTAATGATCAGAGTCAGCCGCGAATATATATATATATATATATATATATATATATATATATATATATATATATATATATATATATATATATATATAATATATGATGTTTTTATATATAATTTTCTTAGGTGTATCACTATAACAGAGAAGTATTAAGCAGGTGTGTGTGTGGGGGGGGGGGGCAAAACGATCGAAGGGACTTATATGGCAAGCAAACACTTGAATATAATTACATACTTACAACCATCACACAGCCCTTACTGTTCTGCTATCGTAAACTCAAGACTAAACACATGCTATCAATTTGGTACCTCTAAGACATCTTGAACAAATTACACGATACAAACTTTCTTGCTGGGGCTGCCGGGACGTGTTCCTATCGCCTAATTGGCTCCATTTTTATTTCAGAGTTGTCTTCCCTAGATGAGTTGCTGTCCCCAGCTAACGAACTCATCTTCCCCGGAAGTACGAGTTTTGGAGCTTCAGGTGAGCTCTGCTTTAATCTTTAGCCCTTAACGTAACAAATGTGGGAAACCTTTTTTTTTGACTAGCTTATTATTCGAAAAACTTCAAAAGATACGACATTTATGTCTCAACTATCCTTTACAAAATTTGTTTTGTTAAACATTTATGATCGCTTGGAAACTTAACGACAACATCAACAACTCAACACAAGTAACACCAACTTTAAAATGTTTATAAAAATTTTTATTCAATAAAAGAACTACTGCTGCCACCTATCACAGATTAACCCCAGCAGCACTTTGGCTAGTTCCAGCCTGACTGGGATAGTCGGGTGCGTGTCTTGATTCTGACAGGCGATGCTCATGTCTGATACAGGTAGATAGATCACGTGATCCTGCAGGTCTTTAAAAACATCCCTCTGGATTTCTATCATGAAAGGTCGGACAACATCGGCAAAGCTGTAGGCACTCTTTCTATTTGCAACATGAGGACCCTTGGGAAATAACAGATTTAAAAAATACAACTAAAACTATTTATACAATGTTGTTTGCTTTTTGACATGCTATTTTAAAAGTCACAAAGCTGAAACAGCCACTGGCGCAAGATTGTATGCGACACCCAGAACGTCGAGTGTGAGAAGATCTATCTCAACAGGCAGGACGAGCACATTTACCTGTAAAACGACTAGCACATTTACCTGTAAAACGACTAGCACATTTACCTGTAAAACGACTAGCACATTTACCTGTAAAACGACTAGCACATTTACCTGTAAAACGACTAGCACATTTACCTGTAAAACGACCAGCACATTTACCTTTGATCGACTAGCACATTTACCTGTGATCGACTAGCACATTTACCTGTGATTGACTAGCACATTTACCTTTGATCGACTAGCACATTTACCTGTAAAACGACTAGCACATTTACTTGTAAAACGACCAGCACATTTACCTTTGATCGACTAGCACATTTACCTGTGATTGTCTAGCACATTTACCTGTGAAACGACTAGCACATTTACCTGTGAAACGACTAGCACATTTACCTGTAATACGACTAGCACAATTACCTGTAAAACGACTAGCACATTTACCTGTAACTGACTTGAATATTTAACTGTAAAACTGCTAGCACATTTTCCTGTAATTGACAAGCACATTTATCTGTAAACCGACTAGCACATTTACCTGTAAAACAACAATCACATTAGGATTTCTCTGAATCAATCGATCAATGGCAAGTTTGATGTCGGTCATCATGTTGACGTAAGCGCTGAGATGGTGACTGGTCAGATGGATGTAGTGGTTGATGTACACAATATGGCGGCCTGTCATGGGGATCTGGTCGATTGCGTAACTGGAAGGGATCAGGTCCTTCAGTGGGGAGGACCACTCGGTCTGTGAAGAGGACAGGGGACATTAAGGACTTTTAGATCATGTTATAGGACATTTATTTTTTTATTTTGATTATAATGTAAATCACCAATTACTATCTAGTACTACAATCGTCACTACTTCGTGCGATACGTTTAAAAAAGCAGTTTTTGCATCTTAGACAAGCGAAAAGTGAAATACTCATGGCGCATTAGATGAACAGACCATGGGTTGCCCATGCATCCTGATCCCTAACTTGACCTTGTTGTAAAGTCCAAAGGAACCTAAGCATTTCGCTTGATACCAACTTTGGTAACAGAAGCTGCCGAAAGGAAAGCAGGTTGGGTAATCCCTTCAGCCAAGGGACACGACTCTTAGTTATTTCAGAGTTCGCTTTCCTAGATGTGCTGATGTCAATAGCTAACGAGCCTCATCTGCCCGGGGCTCGATCTCAGGACTTCTGTATCACCCGCCTATGATAAAACTAACAACACAAGCAATTCCTGCTAATAATGTTCTGCAAGCAATAATATACTCACTGAGTAGGACAAACGACAATAATTGATACTCACCGAGTAGGACAAAAAAGGGTTTGAGTGTGGGAGCCATTTTATGGAGAAGTTGTTGGCTTGATGTACACACAGCAGAGGTTTGTGCCACTTTTCGCTGGTGGCGTTGATTACATTCGCACATCCAGATAGTTTTGCTATTATATAATAATGGCTGCGTCCATTGGAGTCGCCCAGCAATAAAAACTGTAATGCATGACATATGCATGACATATACATGACACATGCATGACATATACATCACACATACATGACACAAAGATGTCACATACATGACACATACATGACACATACATGACACATGCATGACACATACATGACACTTGCATGACATATACATGACACATACATGACACATACATGACACATACATGACACATACATGACATATACATGACACATACATGACACATACATGACACATACATGACACATACATGACATACATGACACATACATGACACATACATGACATATACATGACACATGCACATACATGACACATACATGACACATACATGACACATACACGACACATACATGACACATGCATGACACATACACGACACATACATGACACATGCATGACATATACATCACACATACATGACACATACATGACACTTGCATGACATATACATGACACATACATGACACATGCATGACACATACATGACACTTGCATGACATATACATGACACATACATGACACATACATGACACATACATGACACTTGCATGACATATACATGACACATACATGACACATGCATGACACATACATGACATATACATGACATATACATCACACATACATGACACATACAAGATAAATACATGATAAATACAAGAAAATGAATGACAAAGGCATGACACATGCATTAAACTGACCACTGCTGAAGATAGTGGGAAGGGGGAACAAAGGAAGTGTTTATTTTAAATGTTTTTAGAGTGGATGTAGTTGGAAAGTTTATTTACTTGTTATATAACGTTAGAGAAATGTACCGTCAACTTAGATTTATGTTCTTAGAACTATGTTCTTAGAACTATGTTCTTAGAACTATGTTCTTAGAACTATGTTCTTAGAACTATATTCTTAGAACTATGTTCTTAGAACTATGTTCTTAGAACTATGTTCTTAGAACTATGTTCTTAGAACTATGTTCTTAGAACTATGTTCTTAGAACTATATTCTTAGAACTATGTTCTTAGAACTATGTTCTTAGAACTATGTTTTGGAGTGGATCTGGTTTAGTCGGAAAGGTTATTTACTTGTTATGCAATGTTAGAGATATGTACAGTAAACTTAAAACACTCTAGTACAGAGGTTCTAGTGGCAACCCCCTTTTATAAAAAGCAAGTGAGCCGCGACCCCATAGAATTAAAAAGTCAAAATTAGTATGGAAATTAACAAGCACTAAAATAATATCGTCTCCTAAACTTTCATTATGAATTATCTTGATAACTGTTTTAATAAGATGAGTGAACTTACATGCTATTAACTATCATCAAAATTTGCAGTTGAGTTTTTGTTAACTCAAACCTCATAGTATTCTCAACATTTGATTTATTTCTATGTTTTGTTTTTTAATTGTAGACGTGATGCAAATCTATTCTCGCAAAGATATGTAGACACAAAAGGCCCTAAAACTCAAAAGGCAATCAGTTTCATGTTTGGGTATGAATGGTGCATACTACACCAAAATGGTGCGAGCGGCCTTTAATTTAACACGGTACGTGACGCTGAATCATTCGGCCAATTTAAGAATTCATCTAGTAATTCATCGGGAATGCTGGCTACATCAAGTGAAGCAATGGGTAACGCGTCAACGCAGATTCTTCTTCTTTCAGCTCAGGGAAAAATAACGCCGTAGTTCGTTTTCAATAAATTCAAGTTGCATAGATGTGTTATCTTTATACATTTATCTTTCATACATTTTTAAAAATGTATTTACTACTTCTGTTTAGTGCAGGGGTCGGCAACCTTTTGTGACGGAAGAGCCAAAAGTTATAATTAACCAAATATCCCAGTTATTAAAGAGCCACCAATTTTTATTTCAATATTATGATATTTGATTTGGATATATATATATATATATATATATATATATATATATATATATATATATATATATATATATATCCAAATCAAATATCACAATATTGAAATAAAAATGATAGTGGCTCTTTAAAAAATGGGATATTTGGTAAATTATAACTTTTGGCTCTTCCGTCACAAAAGGTTGCCGACCCCTGGTGTAAGTCAGATGAAAAATTATTTTTTTTTTTTGTTTTTTTTTTTTGGAGGTCATAAAATATTTATTCATAATAAATTTGAATACATACAACAATGTAAAGACAACCAAAATTGGTCTTGAGAATGTTTTGATTACTTTAAAAATAAAGCAGCTATCACCGATACAAGAAGCACATTTGTGCCATGGACGGAGTACAAATAGTTCAGTAAGAATCATGATTTGAAACAAAATCTACAATTTTTTTTCCGCCTCAGACACGTAATTTTTAGCGTCAGTTGTGCGTTCGCTTTAGTATTACAGTTTTCATCATCGGCTTGTGAGGACTGATACAGATTTACAATAGTTATACTTCTTTCTTACTTGTAGCCTACTTTCATTCATTTAAGATGGTTTACTTATACATAGATCTAATACAAAACGTCTAAATATAAAGAAAAAATAAAAATTAAAAACCAACCTAAAACTGAAAATGCAAATGTGTAATTAAATGATGATTCAATGGATTTTTTTTTCTCGGCGTGCGTGGTGGGCTGGGGGGACGGGGGGGGGGGGGGGTTTAAGTAGATGAAAAATTAGTAAAGGGATATTTAACGCAGTCATGGATAATTTGTAAATAATTTAGAAAGAAACGTTTTAACTTATAAGCATTGTAAAATAATGTCTATGACTATTTCTATTTTACACATATAGATGTATAGTTAATTAATTTTTATCCAACAAAAGCAGTCAATTTAAAAATAATAAACTTTGCACTTTAAAAAAAAATAGTTAATGCATTTTTCTGACAATAGAAATTAGATTTTGTTGGCTATGCTACGAAAATACAGACCGAGACGTTTTTAAAACACGAGCTTGAGTTGTCCTCCTTTACACGACACAGCAATGGCTGCCAGTGACCTTTGTAAAAATAGCCGGTTGGTTCAGGTTGAGCCCAGGTGTGTCGTGGTGGTACCTGGTTACATGGTGTTGGTGGGATCAGCCGGTCAGGTGTCGTGTCTACTTTCACACCTGGACAGTTTGGTGTGAGTTTACACATTTAGGTTTTAACTCTCGATATTAAAAAAAAACTTTATAATTTCTTTAAAAAAATATTAACACTTGTTAAAAGAAGATTAGAGGTGGCTAAAACGTACCAGTTGTTTGGGTCCTATTTAATACAACAAAGTGCACATCAGCTTTGTTGTCGTAGTTTATGAAACCGGAGCTTGAAAAAAGCAACAAAATAAAGAAAAAAAAGTCATTTTAATTCATCGTATTTCTACACTTTGTAGGGTCGTAAGAAATATAATTATTTAATTATTTAATTTGCAAACACAATAGTTGTGGGGGCCACCTTAAAAACCTGCTAAGTCAAAGTTTAAAAAAAATAGATTAGTCTTATAGCCTTCTTAATTAAGTATTAATTAAATTAGAATACTAATTTTTTACTAAAAAGTATACATTAAAATAGATTATGTAATACTTAAGAATCAACAATCCTTTTAAAAAAATTCATTAAAAAACGTTTTAATAAAAAGCAATAATGCACTAAAAAGTAGAAAATAAATGATTTTCGTGAAATTTATAATAACACACTACTCTTTAAATTACTAGAAACAAAAGCGAGGGTCACTTTATTATCTATTGGATACCTTTACTAATATTTTGGTAGAGACCCACGCTTGTCAGATTGCTTTGTCTTCATGTCTTGACCCACGTGCCAACATTGAGCCGAATTTGAGCAAGTTAAATAAAAGCTAGTAAAAAGAGTATTTTGGTTTTACTAATTAGATGACATTTATTCTTAATACGTCTGCAGCGGAGACTGCCCTAACTTAGAGTCTAAGTTAGGGCAGTCTCCGCTGCAGACGTATTAAGAATAAATGTCATCTAATTAGTAAAACCAAAATACTCTTTTGACTTAGACCGATCCGTTTTCTCCCGAGCCAAAGATTGGCTTCTTTTCGTAAACCAATCAACATAGCTGTTTCCTTTTTTACTGTTAAAAACGTTATTCTTCGCTGATTGGTTTGGTATAAATAGTTAACCAATCGCTAGGCTTATAGTTGTACACAGACACACACTTTAATAACTGTGTCATCATTAGTGTTTGTCTTACACAGGGAGGCTGTAAAAAATGTGTATTTAAGCTTTAATCTTGTTGTTCATTTGTTTATATTTAGTAGTATTAGAACTGGACGTAGTTACATTTTGTTCAGGTTTTCAAGTAAATTTAAGAACGACCTACCCAATTTTTTTCTGCAAGATCGTCTGCTCCGTGTCTGTTAAAGGTGCTACAGTAGTATCCGGTAAAAACCTTGTGTGTATGTAGTGAGAACAGTTCAACTCTTTCTTCACTGGGCGTCCACAGTACCACGGGGACCCGTTCGATGACGTCAAGTTACAGACCTCCCCCTGGGTGTACCCTGGGAGGACGTCAGTGTTGTGGCAAAGGGTTGCCTCACTCGCCTGCGGGTTGGTGTGGAGAGGGTTGTTAACAAGAGTTGCTACTCAATGGGAAATTGAGAATTCTAGGGGATAATATAATTTTAACGCCGAAAAAAGCCAGAGGCGAAGCGACCATTCCCGGCGCCCAGGGACAAAATTTCCGATTTGCACCCCCACTCCCTCAAGATTTCGATTTGCACCCCCCTCCAAACTTTCGATTTGCACCCCCCCCCCTCAAGATTTTGATTTGCACCCCCCCCCCCCCAAACTTTCGATTTGCACGCCCCTCAACCTTTCAATTTATATTTCCAACCCATTTTGGCGCCCCCTAAGGTCGGCGCCCGGGGACATATGTTCCTCCCCCGCCCCCCCCCCCCCCCCCCTCGCTACGCTACTGAAAAAAGCTCCATTTAACTTCTATGATTAGGTGCTGATTAATTTATCCTAAAAACGAAAGCATTCACCTGTCGGGACATATTATAACAAGCTCAAAAAATTTTAAATGATAATGTGCAAAATAGTATTTGAATAAGTATTTCTTATCATTTTCTATAATCAATCATCAGACAAGCAGATTTTATCTTCACATGGGTTCATAAAAACGGGTATCATGTGATTTAGTTGCGTGCTAGATGATATGACGGTATTTCCGATTTCGTCTGGTTAAAGCAATTCAAAACATTTTTATCCTAATCATAATGGTTTTCGTGATTAAAATTGAGCGAGCTTTATATCTAGTTATCTTTGTGTTCTATCAACGTTTGTATTTGTGTGATGAAAATGCTAGGAACCCACGAATAAAACAATCTATGGTACAGTTGAGGCCGGTTACCTGTGAGTTCACAATAAAACAATCTATGGTACAGTTGAGACCGGTTACCTGTGAGTTCACAATAAAACAATCTATGGTACAGTTGGGACTTGTTACCTGTGAGTTCACAATAAAACAATCTATGGTACAGTTGAGACCGGTTACCTGTGAGTTCACAATAAAACAATCTATGGTACAGTTGGGACTTGTTACCTGTGAGTTCACAATAAAACAATCTATGGTACAGTTGAGACCGGTTACCTGTGAGTTCACAATAAAACAATCTATGGTACAGTTGAGACCGGTTACCTGTGAGTTCACAATAAAACAATCTATGGTACAGTTGAGATGAGTTACCTGTGAGCTCACAAACCCGCCAACTGCTTGTTTATATCCTTTTATCATCAGGTGACTTGTAAGCAGAGCAGTAAAAAATTCTCTGGAGTAAGCCAGGTGTATGGTGACCCTGTCAACAAAAACCACACATTTTATGGCACATATTGGCTATGTTCTATGTACATTTATATAGGAAGTTTAATTTTTTCCCCACGTTTTTTTTAACTTGCTTTCGCGTCTGTTTGTTTGTTTGTGTCTTTCCATCAAATCTTGCGATCGAAATTTCGGGCACTTCCCAGTTAGCTAGCGCGCTGAAATTTTCAGGGAAGCTTTGTTTCCGATGACAATACAATATTCAATTATTATTATTACTAAATTGATCCATGGAAAAATGTTATTGATCATTTTAGACTCCTATTGATTTGTACAAAAAAGGGACATAACCTAGTAATTGTAATTTGATAAAAGCAAGGTTCGGTACTTTCCCCCTTCTGGCTTTTCTACTTTTTAGTTCAATCTTTAAAAAATGTAATGATAATTATTTAAATTTTACTTCTAGGTAGAGGGAATACATTTACATGGGAAGTTTAAGTTTGATTTTTGTTCCAGGTAGAGGGAATTGGGAATACATTTACACGTGAAGCTAATGTTTTGACATAAGGACAACAGACAAAGATTCCCCCCTCACCTGAGCCGACCTTCCCAAGGTAGAACAGCTGTAACCAGGTAAGTTCCATTGTTCAAATCTGTCACCTGACCTGCCAGTTTGCTGTCGTGATCCAAATCCTGGAACCAGGCTCTCATCTCATCGCCACCTTTGACCTTTGGCTGACCCTCCTGGTCCTTGACCTCCACACGGAGAGCGATGGTGTCACCCACGGTGAAGGTTTGGCTGGGGATGGAAATGTGAAGGTTTGGCTGGGGAGGAAACGAAGGTTGTAGCATGTGAATCTTTTATGATACCTTAGAGCAGTGGCGTAGCCAGGATCGTCACAAGGCGGGGATTCCAATTTTTACCCGGGGACAAACTTTCGATTTGCAACCCCCCCCCCCCTCAAACTTTCGATTTGAACCCCCCCCCCCCCCTCAAACTTTCGATTTGCACCCCCCTCTCAAACTTTCGATTTGCATCCCCCTCATATTTTATATATATATATATATACCGAGGGGTCTATGGGGGGGGGGTTATGACCCCCCCCTGCCTACGCCACTGCCTTAGAGAGACTTGCATGTTACGATCAACTATCTACTAGTTGGGACGTATTAAAGAAAAAAATGGGGTTTAGTGATGCTGTTAATCTTTGTCACAAAACTGGTAGCGATCCTTGAATCTAACGAGGAGAAAGTAGTCCTTTAAAAGACGGACTTTAAAATTGAGACTTGCGCTTAAAGCAACCGTTACACTTGTGAAGATCTGTAGACGTAAGCAGCAGATAATACAGATGGACTGAAATTGTAACAAGAAGACACACTTCTGCCTGGCGCTAAGATAGACGCCGAGAAGTCATCATGAGTTTAGTCAATACAAAAAATGTGAACAACTGACAAAATTTCTGTAAGGTAATATTATTTTTGTTTGTTAAACATGAATTTTATTTAAATTTACCCCCAAAAAGGCGCCATTATCCTAAAAATGTGAATATAATACAAACATATTTGCTAATGATCCATACCAACCTGTTGTTTAGCAAGATGACTGTAGATGACTTATGACTTGAGACTTGTGTCAGGTTTTCTATGGGCGGGTCCAGCACGTACATCTTTTCAAACTCGTACAAAAAGGGCACAGGTGGTTTACTCAGGAACTCAGGTAACCAAAGGGCGTGGCACTTGCTGTGGGGACAGGAAGATTGTATTAAATGTCAGGTAGACGCTCCTAACATGTGAGATTCTTACATGCTACACCTGCACTAACTTTGTCGGGTTGTTTCTCCCAACCTGTGAGATTCTGACAAACTACACCTATGGCACCAACTTCCCAGCCAGATCTAGCACCACAACATACCCAGGTGCCATGTGTTAAAGAAAAGTTCCACTCACTCTCGAACTAAAGTCATCCATGCGTGGTCCGCGTCTGCCGTAAAGCTGCCGTTTAAAGATGGCCGACTGCGCCACGCTAACCTCGGCTCTCTAGCTATTTGTGCACACTCCACCTTCGTAGCGTCCATAGCGACGGTTTTATTCAATCTAACGGCCAATCTGGCTCTGAATTCTAGAAGTTTCTCTACACTTGAAACGGTGTCATGGCTGGGCTGATATAGTTAGGTTGTAGGTATGTAATAATTAATCTTAAGTGATATAATTAGGCAGTAGGTATGTTATAATTAATCTTAAGTGATATAGTTTGGCAATAGGTATGTAGTAATTAACTTTAAGGAATATAGTTAAGAACGTATGTAATAGTTAATCTTTAATGAGATAGGTAGGTAGTAGATAGGCAATAATTAATCTTATAACTCATCATTATCTATATATATAATTCTCTTCTGGGAGACGCTAGAAAACAAGTTGAAAGCGCGCCTAGCAGTCCTATCTCTTCCTCTCTAGGCATATCTCTATTCCCCCCCCCCCCCCATACCCACATTGCCTGGTGAGCTGTGGTTCACGCTGTTTACAAGCGTAGAGACGGGTTTAGTGACGGCTATTAGGGGCAGATAATTTAGTTTGAAACGATTTTAAACTTAGGGGAGGTAACTAAGAGGAGGCTGCTTTCACGAGGAGGGGGTTGGGGGGTTGGGGGGAAAGGAGAGTTTTAGTGTTTTAAAGCAAATCTATTTTCAGTGGCAGCATTAGTACTGTCGAATTCACAAATTATGAATTACTGAAAAGTAGAAAAAAAAAACAACTAAATAGCGGCGTATGATACGCCGCGGGTCGGCTCGTAAAATTTTTTTTCAAAAAACGTGTCTACATTCACTCCATTTAAACTCACGGAGTAATTCAATTATAAAGTCACCAACTTGGTATAAAGCTGGACTGCGGTATATTATTTCGTGAAGTTTTGTCAACCAAACAACATTTTTATTTTTAAATTCAGCTCCCCTCCCCTGCATGAGGTTACGAAACCTCTCGTTTCACTACGTTTTTATCTCTACAAACACTTTCTGTGGTGTAGGACTAGACCGCAGCAACACGCGACGGGTACGCCAGTTAATGCATAGATAAAAGCTTGCTATGATATACGTTTTTATTTACTTTTTAATGTAAGGACTTAGCTTGGAGTAATTTTAACTGATACCTATTGGAAATGGTTTTTTTTTCTAAATGACACCAGCATAACATAAAAACATGTCATTCTAAATGACACCTTCAAGGAACAACAACTCAGAACAAACTTTACCTGTTTATGGTAACCTGTCATTACGTCACCCACGTGAATAATCTGAACAATTTTGTCGATGAACAAAACATTGGAGTTGTTATACCTGTAACACAGATGTTTGATACATGGTTTAATATAACATCCACATCCACACTTCAAATTCCCCCCCCCCCTAAGAGCGTCTCCGTTTTTGACACAATTATGTTATGTTAAAATTGATTTTTTTAAATTTATGATTGAAGAAATTGATGGTGTGACTTGACTTAAGACATTTATTATATGCTTTACTATACAATAATCACATACTACTGCAATTTTGAGTTCATTTATTGATCTCAAATCAATCTTTTCTCTGATGAACAGGTATTGTACAGGTGTGTAGAGGTGTGTAATGGTGATTTTATGTCTGCCGGTGTCTTGCGGGTTTAATATTGGTTTAATGGTGTTTTAGGGATGTTACATTGCACTGGTGGTCGTTGTTTAGGTGTGTACAGATGGTGTTTTGATGGTGTACAGTTTTGATAAAAGGTGTATAGGTGGTGTACGTATGTTGTATATCTATCTTATATATGTATATACTGGTGTTTGTCATTCGATGTCCACTCACTGAATCAATATTTAAAAAAAAAAAAAACTTTACTATGGACAACAAACTGTAGCAGTACCACAAGGGGGTGTCATAGTGTTTGTTTGTTCATTGCCAGCGTGTAGTTTAGGCTCAGGCCCTGTCGGGTATTTATTTGAACATTTCATCAGCAGAAATTGTTTAACTTCATGACAGATGTTTCTCTTAGGTTTTCTGAGATCTGGGCAGATGTTTCAGTCGGTTTTTTGTTTTACGTCTTAGCAGTTTCAGTCATAGTGTACTCAAACAGATATTTCAGTCAGTTGTTTTTTTTTTGTTTTACATCTTGGCAGTTTCAGTCATAGTGTACTCAAACAGATATTTCAGTCAGTTGTTTTTTTTTTGTTTTACATCTTGGCAGTTTCAGTCATAGTGTACTCAAACAGATATTTCAGTCAGTTTTTTTTTTTGTTTTACATCTTGGCAGTTTCAGTCATAGTGTACTCAAGCAGATGTTTCAGTCAGTTTTTTTTTAATTTTTCAGTCAGGTTTTTCATGTCATGTTTCTGTAGGATTGGAGTGATGGATGGACAAATGGAAAAATGGACAAATGAACATATAGGCCTAAACAAATGGACAAACGAATAAATGGAGATATGGAAAAATTTAAAAATGAACGGATGGAAATTTTTTATAAATATGGACAAATGAACATATAAACAAATGGAAAATTGACAAATGAGCGAATGGACAAATGAACATATAAACAAATGGAAAATTGACAAATGAGCGAATGGACAAATGGGTGAACAGATGTATGAGCTGAGGGAAAGATGGTTGAATGGGGGCGGGTGTGGGGTGGGGGATGAATTGATGACGAAATGGATTTAAATTGAAGGTCAAAAAAATTAAATATTCACCTCAGCATTAAGTAACCCAAGCACAATGACGTCACCAAGCAGAAAAACACAAAATATTTCCTCAAGCGTACATTCTTCACTAGCGTTAGAAATCTATTGAAATAATCCACGGTTTCATTTCTCAAGCAAACATCTACCGTCATGTTAAATTATCAAGTAATCTTCTTGTAATAATTTCAACAAGCGAAAGAGGAAGAACGTGTTGTGTTCAGTAAAGGAAAATAAACGGACGTGTTTACAGTGAGTTATTATCGCCTTTGACATTTATGGTTTATTGGTCGTTTACACGTAGCGCACGAGACAGTGAGAGTGGGAGAGACGGAGAGAGAGAGAGAGAGAGACGGAGAGACACAGAGATAGTGGGAGGGACAGAGAGAGACAGAGAGAGAAAGACAGAAAGTGGGAGAGGCGAATAGAGATAGAGACAAAGAGGGTGTGGGAGGGACAGAGAGAGTAGGAGAGACAGAGAGAGACAGAGAGAGTAGGAAAGACAGAGAGAGTGGGAGAGGGGAGAGACGGATGGAAACGGAGAGTGTGGGAGAGACAGAGAGAGACAGAGAGAGAGACAGAGTGTGGGATAGAGAGAGTGGGAGAGGGGAGAGACGGACAGAGACTGAGAGAGGCAAAGAGAGTGTGAGAGAGAGTGGTAGAGACAGGGAGAGATTGAGAGATACATAGAGAGATGCAACTCTTTCGCAAGCAGAAATTAGGCTGCTATAGGTCATTAAAGTTACGGGCTCTCTCTTGGAAGAGCTTATACTGTCTCAAGGTCAGTAAATTACCTGCGCATTTCCGGGTGGTATTTTTGTTTCGGCCAACAATAGAGGAAGCACGCAAAGTGCTTATTGGGCTGGTAAGTTCAGCTTAAGTTAGCGTTCTCTCTCGCGTTAATTCAAGTCTGTGTATCCAGGGAGAGATAAAAGTTTTCGAACTAAATCAATTGTTGTGAATGGGATTCCCATTGATAACAAAAAACATGGCGGCTATTTGTTAGTAGGCCCCGCTTCAAGATTTAAAAATCATCAAACGTTCCAGAAATGCAACAATTGTAAAAAATTTCAACGCTGTTTTGTTCATATGGATGGGAACAAATACATGTGCATGCATTCCTGAATATAAAAGTTCTGTGGCGGTAAGTATATTGATTTTATTTCTTTTGTTGATAGTTTGTCCACGAAAGCCTAGGGGACATTACTCTGATCTAACTGTACTCAGTCTTTGCTTCGAACGAGACTCTAGCAGTGGCGTAGGCAGGGGGGGGTTAGGGGGGGTTATAACCCCCCCCCCCCCCATGTACCCCCAATATGACTACCTTTTTACGTTAAGCTACAGCTATTGACTTGTGTCGATATTATTTAGGGCTTAAACACTAAACACTTAACCTGGCAGCCTCTAGAACAACAATGTATATCATTGTGATGAGAATTGCCTGTAGAATTTAGTTATGAATTTTATTATCGTGCTAAAGTTAAGTATAATAATCTGGAACGCAGTAGGCCAAGGGAAAGTTGGCCAAGGTTAGATCAGTTAAGGAGTGTCGAATGGGGAGGGGTGGGCTACGTGGGTAGGCCTTTGTTGTCTAATATGATTGTAGTGCAACCGGAAAGCGCCTAGAAATTTAAAAAAAAACAACAACGAAGGAATTGATTATTATTCGCATTGAGGTTCTATAATGTGTATGTTTTTACTACTTCAAAACATTTGAAATTCATTTCACTAATGGCGGATGAAACAGGGAAACTGAAAACTATTTAATTTTTAAAAAGATAAGTAAACTGAAAATGATAAAGATGGCAGAGGACACAAGGTTATCAGTTAAAGGGTGTGACAGGGGGGGGGGGGGGGTGAGGGTGGGTTTGAATATGGGTACGTCTCAATTACTACCGGATGCACATCTGGCAGGAAAGCGTGGGCGGGACCCACAATTGTTGACACAAAACTTAGTGTTGGTAGATATAAAAACTGCGTAGGTGGTTAAATATAGATGTAGAGCCAGGAACCTACAGTATTCATTTTTAGACAGTCAGAAAAGAAAGACCAATAATTATTTATTTTCTTATTCGCATAGTCGTGTTTTAATGTGTATCTTTTTGATAATTAAAGCAATTTAAATTCATTTTAATGATGTCGGATGGAAAAAGGAAATTTAAAACTACTTTATTAACTGATTTCTTTACAAAGAAAAATAAAACTGAAAATGATAAAAATGAAGATGGTACTATTGACTCTCAAACTACATTACATCAAGAAATTTCCATAAATTCAGCACCTTTGACTGTTTCTTATGCAAATGATATCGGCAATTTTATCAAAGGAGTTATTACAGATGATACACGGTTGTATTTATTAGAAAACATCTGGCGTCCCGAAGAACTTTTTAAATTTCCAGCAAGCGGACAAAGAAATTTAAAGTTTCAATATTCGTGGCTACTTAGGTGGAACTGGTTGACTTATTCCAAATTACTTGATGGCGCATTTTGCAAATATTGTGTTTTGTTTAGTTTGAATTATGGTGGTGTAGGTAGTCAGCCTTTAGGTAAGTTATCAAAAATTCCATTTTCAAACTGGAAAAAGGCAACAGACAAGTTTAATGAGCACCAGCAATGTGAATATCATAAAAGAGCAATTTTACTTTCCCAAAATCGTAAATCGGTTATGGAGAAAAAAATAGAACCTATTAACATCGCCTTGAACTCATCAGTAAGTCAACAAATTCTAGAAAATCGTTTAAAGTTAGCGCCCATAATAGAAACTATAATTTTTTGCGGCCGACAAGGTCTTGCACTTAGGGGGCACAGGGATTTCGGAAATTTTCAGTTGGAGGATCCTGACGAAAATGATGGAAATTTTCGAGCTCTTTTAAGATACAAAGCCATGGGTGGAGACGAAACACTTAAACATCATCTAGAAAATTCTTCAAAAAATGCAAGATACTTAAGTCCCACCATTCAGAATGAAGTGATAAATGTGTGCAATAAATTAATTGTTCAAAAGATTGTTGCGAAAATTACTTCTGTTAAATTGTTTTCTGTCTTAGCCGATGAAACTAGTGATATAGCTGGTATGGAGCAATTTTCGTTGTGTGTTCGCTACTATGATAACGACATAAAGAAAAAAAGGGAGGATTTCCTACAGTTTGTAGGTGTAACTGATCTAACAGGCAAAGGACTTGCAAATGTTTTAATGGACACTCTAGCAAATTTACACATAGACGGTAATTTTATGATAGGTCAAGGATATGATGGAGCCGCTGCAATGAGTGGTCGACTTCATGGGGCGCAACAATATGTTGCTGAGAAATTTGATTTGGCTATTTACGTGCATTGCGCATCTCACAGTCTAAACCTAGCACTTTCTGATGCCTGCGAACTACCAGCTGTGAGAAACTGTATGGGAATTCTTAATAGTACATACAACTTTTTTAACACACCAAAACGACAATCTTTGCTTGCAAATTCAATAGAGAAATTAACACCTAAAGCATCAGCATCTCGACTTAAACGATTGTGCGCAACCAGATGGATTGAGCGTCATGAGTCTGTCAACGTTTTTATACAGCTTCAAAAAGCAACTGTTGATGCACTGGAAATTATGTCATCCTGGCACGATACAACAACTTCTTCAACAGCGGTTCAACTTTTAGGAGCAATTAGGAGTCTTGAGTTTCAAGTTTCTCTTAGAGTTATCTCAAAAATCTTTGCAATAACACTTCCTGTCAGCAGAATACTCCAAACAGAAAACTTTGATCTATCTGCGGCTCTAAAATTTACAGAAGATTCAAGTAGCCTACTAGTGAATATGCGGAAGGATGCTGAATCAGAATTTACTACCGTATTTAATGAAGTCAAAGACATTTGTGAGGACTTCGACATAGATATACTTATTCCACGTCGAGCTGGAAAACAAATTCAACGCTGCAATGTTATGGCAAATACGCCTGAAGAGTATTACAGAATAGCTGTATTTATTCCTTTCCTTGATTCGGTTATATGTCAAATAGGAGACAGATTGCTAAAACATAAATCTGTTTTGAGAGGTTTTATGTGTCTTTTACCCAATGACTCGGGTTTTACCAAAGAACAGGAAAAGAATGCCATAACACTTATGCAAAAATATGAACGTTTGATTAACAGCAGTGTCATCGATGAAAGCATTGGAGAACTGAAACTGTGGTGGCGCCACATTATTACAAGTGGAAATGTACCGCAAAACGCTCATCAAGCTTTTTTAATGTGTGACGTAAAAATATTTCCAACAGTACACAAACTACTGCAAATATTTGTAACATTGCCTGTAACAACTGCCGTTAGCGAACGCTCTTTTTCCACTCTCAGACGGCTAAAAACGTACTTGCGAAATACTACTTGCGAGGATAGACTAAATGGATTGGCATTATTAAATATTCACCGACAAATTGAAATTTTAGCGGATGAGGTTCTTGATGAATTAGCCAAGAGTCCAAGAAGACTTGAACTACGATTATAGGTAAGTAATGTTATAAGTACTTTTATCTGTTTGCTGTGTTCTAGTACTGTTATTGCGTCTATATATATATATATATATATATATATATATATATATATATATATATATATATATATATATATAAAATGCTGGAAAAAAATTGGAACCCCCCCCCCATGAGACGATCCTGGCTTCGCCACTGGACTCTAGAATTCTAGTTCTAAGAATATAATGTTCATAAATTAGAATTTATTACATCTAGATATCTAGAAAACTAGAAAAAGTATTAAGAATATGATGACTCGCACTCAGTCTACAACTTAAATCGAATCTAGATAGATATATCTAGACTCGTTATCTAGATCTAGAAATCCTGATCTAGAGTAGGTCTAAACTATATAAAGTCTAGTTTCTAGATTCAACAACTGAACTAGATTTAGATTGACTCTAGATCTAGATCTGACTCTAGATCTACCTAGATTTCTAGAATCTAGATCGAAATATTAAATACAAATCTTTAGATTTTAGATCTAAAATCATTTACTTAAACTTTTAAAGTTCAAGTAAATAAGATTAAGAATGCAGTCAATTATATAATTTTAATATTGTAATAAAGTAATAATATAGTCTAGAATCTAGATTCTACATCTAGTTTAGTTAGGCTAACCTGTTTTTAATTTTTTCAATAGATTTTAAGATCTGGATCTGGCTATT